TAAATTTCTGCATGTGGAGATAAGCTGCACAACCCACATGCAGAATAGCAGTATTGTGCAGCACATGTCAGTGAATAGGTGCTGTTGTGCAGTGCACAGCCACAGAGCATAAACACAATAGATAACATTGCTGTATGTGCAACTCTGCTTCTGCCACTTTCAGCAGAATGCCTTTGTTGCACTATGCCAAATAAGTTCATTCCATATGTGCAACACAACTTACGCATGCGTATGTCATGAACAGAATGTCAGAGACTCTTGTTTTGAAATCCAGTGTTTCTAAAACTAACAACAGTAATGTAATGTTTATCTATTGAAATTCTGTATTAGTTGAATTAGTGTAAATAGATTCTTATTTTGATATTCGTATTGTCAAAGTTGTAATGAAAGTGGGGAACCTTTCCTACTAAAATTACAGCAGCTGCTCTTCTCTGGAAGTCTCTTACATTTACTTAATTTACTTCAGACACCTTCTGGTATCCAGGGGAAGGCATAGTTACCATAACAACATTTAATCTTTCAAAGTATTGATGTCAGAGTTGCATTTCTAAAGAAGATATTCAGTATCTAGTGTTGTGAAAAAGGAGGGATATTAAATAAAAATAAATCTATCTATCTACCTATCTACCCTACCTATCTGACTATTGGCACATCTTTAAGTTAAAATTCCAATGGGGGAATAATATTGTGGTGCCTTCAGAAACTTCTGTAAGAAATTCCTTACTTGATCAGATGTTTGGACTGAGAAGGTGGTATTGATATACAATGCAAATTCTGTATCCACGGACCAGTACTTGCTGATTCACTTACCATTATCTGAAAAAATATGTTCTCTCTAGGCATTTACTAGGTCCTCCAGCACAATTCTATGGCATGCTTCTGCTAGAACATGACCATAGAGTTGTGCTGTATGTAGAGCTTCCTAGAGAGATATTCTTCCTAGGCATTTCTAGGTCTTCCAGTGCAATCCAAGATATGCTTCTACTGGAAGCCATTCATTTCAAGAAGGTTCACTGTTATCCACAATCTTGTGTTTCCACAGTAAGTCCAGGAATGTATCCCCTGCAAATATGGGAGGGTTGTACTGTATTTAAAGTATGCTTGATGATCAATCGAGTTAACAAATGAATTAAGGAGAATGGAATGTAAAATGGTTGCTGAAATACTAAATGACCATGGCATTTTCCTAAATGCAGTATTACCACAGCATTTTGTCAGTGTCATTTTGTCAGTGTTATAACTGACTTGATACTGTATGAAAAATCCCAGTACAGGTTGAGTCTACATTATCTGACATTCTGAAATCTGAAATATTCCAAAATTCAATTATTTGTTTTCATTTTATTTTTCTTAGAAATGGAACTATAACTTTCTGAAAGGAACACTTGAAATATAAGAAAATTGTTTGGTTTTGCCAGTTTATGAGCATCTAACAAAAGAGAGGTAGGAACAGAAGAAACGATAAACGTTACTAAAACAAAGAAATGCAAACAAAACTTTTCTCAGTCTATAAGAAGAAATGAGAAAACCAGGACCAGGCATTGCAATTATTCAATACTGTACACCAGTGCTTCTCAAGCTGTATGATGTGGAGAACTGCCTTTTTCTCCCCCCGACTGTGCCAGGGACCAGTACCAAATTTGTGCTCATTAGACACAACAGTTTCTTCTCCTCCTGTAAACATGCTACAGCTGTTGCCTCACACATTATCCACTGCTTATGAACCTCCACTTCAAGTAGCTCTACTGTCCATAGATTTTCAGGAAAGTTTTTAGAAACAATGTGGGCAAATAAGTATATAAATTCCTTGTGTTAAATATATATATTTTCTAGGAACTCCACAAGACATGATTATCTTCTAAAACAGTGATTTCCCCAACTTTGGTCCCCCAACTCTCCTGCCCAGTTTGACTAGGAGGCTAATCCTATCCCCTCTTTGCTGCTAAAATATGGAGTTGCACTGGCAACTAGAAATAATTTTTTCCACTTCTGATCAGTGGAAAAGCCATGCTTTCTGCACCAAAACAAAGAGCATAGGGAGTGCACATCTTGTTTTAGAGCAGCGATTCCCTAACTTTGGTCCTCCAGTTGTTTCTGACTTCAGCCCTCAAAATTCCTGAATGTTTGCCAAAGTGGCTGGGCTTCTGAGAGTTCAAGTCCAAGTTGAAGAAATTGATAGGTCTCTACTTGTATGTCTTGGAGTTAATATACTGTTGCTGTTGTTGCTGTGTACCTTCAAGTTGTTTCCGACTTACAGTGACCCTGAGGTGAGCCTATCATGAAGTTTTCTGGGGCTATAATGTGTCGTTCGCCCAAGTTCACCCAGTGTTTCCATAGAGGAGTGGGGAATCAAACCCTAGTCTCCAAAGTTGTAGACCAATGCTCAAACCACTACACCACACTGGCTGTCGAATATATCTTACATGTAATTAATTAATTGTCTGGATTCCCTCTTCTATATAGCTTTTTTAATTACTAAAAGAAAATCTGAATAACTTACTGTGTTCTTAACTGATATGAGATTGAAGAAACTGAATAGAACCATTATCACATACAAACACATTCTGATTCATTTTGTAATTCCTTGCAACAGGCATTAAGTCTGTATCCTGCCTGTCTGTTTGTCCTGGATTTTGAAACTTTGAGCTTCAGTCAGTAGAATATTCTCTCTTGATAATATGCATACCATTCTTCATTTGGTTATCACAGTCCTTGTGTTTAATTACATTTTACACTGCTATTGTTAGAGAAACAGTTTAAGTCACAATATTATTTCCTGTTGCCCACCCTGGAGCTATACTTTAATTCTCCCCACAAGCACACATAGAGAGCCATGTACTGTTGTTCTTGAACAGCTAAGCATCTGTTATCAAAAGCACCCCTTTCTCCTTTCTCATGTCTTTCCTGGCACTCCAGTGTGTATTCTGGGTACCATATGTGTATTGAGAAGTCAAAAAACAATATACTTGTTTACAGTGAAATAATTTTACTTTCTATTGGGACTTAAAAGTTGTTCAAAGGAACTTAGGTAACTACAGTGATTCTGATATATAGACTTTACTTTTCCGCTCTTGCTTTTTAATTTGACACTTTTCCTCCCTCTCCCAGGATTGATTTTCTCTTAAACAGTTTGTAATTGTGTGATATATGTACATTTTTCATTTAGGTTATCCATTTCAGCATGAGACTATTGAAGCACAAGTCCATCGATTTGTCAAGATACCACAGAACTTTAGTAGGTGTTCCTTTCTTCCTCATCTTACCTCTGAAGATTTATTTGCCATCTCTCTCTCTCTCTCTCTCTCTTTCTCTCTCTCTCTGTGAAATCTTTTAGCTTGTGCTGTTGTGCTATAGAAAATGTCTCTAGCACTATACTTATACATTTTAGTTCAGTTTGATTTAATTCTGGACATTTGAAATAAAATCTAGGCTCATCAGCTAGAACAAGGGTAGGCAACCTGTTTGAGCCGGGGGCCGGGTTGCTGCCAGTCAGACAATTGGGGGGCCGAAGCACCAAAAATAAATAAATAAATAAATAAATAAATAAAAATTAAAAATTAAAAAAAATTTAAAAATATGCATGCACACTCTCTCAGCCCCAGAAAAGCCATGGCAAAACCCCTGTGGAGATTTTGCCAAGAAAACCCCAAGAACAAGTAATAACAACAATAATTAATATCATGGTGGGGGGCAGTGGCAGTGGTGGCAGGACCGGCCTAGGGCCGGTCCAAAGGCCTCGAGGGGCCGCATCCAGCCCCCGGGCCTTAGGTTGCCTACCCCTGAGCTAGAAGGTTGATTAATTTCACCTTCTGTCAAATAGCACATTGCTCAGGCAGTTCATTTGAGATGCAAAACTCCTTTTTTATTTTTAGCAAACAATTAATCCCTCCCAGGGGAATGTGGGTGTAATTGTCAAATCTAGCAAAGGACTGCTATTAAACCAACTGCCACAGCAGGTGTTCGGATGAAGTGCCTTACCATCTAATAAGTGCTGCTTTTTATTGCAAAGATAGCAGAATGGAACACCCTAAGGAAAGGTGTTTTGTGTATGTTTCCTTTCCTCCCTTATTTTGGAGACGTTCCCTTTTCTATCTTCAGATTCTGAATCCTATTGTTCCCTTGAGATTCTCAAGTAATTTCTTTTCAGAGTGATTCTATTTCATATTAAAATTAATTGTGTGTACTTTTTTAGAAGAGACTTGAGTATGCTTTAAAAAGTGACCTAAAGTGTTAAAAACAACTGGAGGACTGTCATGAAGAGTCTTCATGTTATGCAGGCTATCTATGCTGCCACCACTGGTCTTGCAATTTTTAACAATATCACTTGTGCAGCTCTTGCTCCACTCTATTTTTGAAAGTTGTATTACATACATTATAATTTTAAGTGGCACTCAAGATATGCTAGTCTTAGGCTAGCATGTTTTTAACCCATTCCCATATCAGCCAGGTATTGCAGTGGTTTGAACATTAGCTTACGATTCTGGAGATCAGGGTTTGATTCCCCACTAGCCATGGAAACTGACTGGTTGACCTTGGACCAGGGGTAGGCAACCTTTCCCCTTTAAGGGCTGAGGGAATTCAGCTCCCATAATCCCAGGAGCTATTGGCCAACATAGGACAATTGGCCAACATGGCTGAGGCTTCTGGGAGCTGAAGTCCCTCGGCCCTTAAAGGGGAAAGGTTGCCTACCCCTGCCTTGGACAAATGACACACTCTCAGTCAAAGAAAACTCCATGATAGATTCACCTTTAAATCATCATAAGACAGAAATGCCTTGAAGACATACAACATTATAATCTTGAGTGGTACCCAACATATGCTAGACATAACCTATAATGTTTTTGTTGTTGTGTGCCTCCAAGTCATTTTTGACTTATGGCAACCCTAAGGCAACCCTATTGTAGGGTTTTTTTGGCTAGTTTCTTCAGAGGGGGTTTGCTATTGCCATCCTCTGAGGCTGAGACATTGTGACTTGCCCAAGGTCACTCAGTGGGTTTTTATGCTTGAGCAGGGGATCAAACCCTGATCTCTGGAGCCATAGCCCAACACTCAAACCACTACACTATACTGGCTCTAACCTATCCCCAAATCACTTGTCTCCATAGCATTAGTTTCCACAAATTCAAACAAAAATCCACCAAATTGTGATACCTTTATTGGTCATCATTTTGGTCACACTGCAAAATTAGTTTCCACAACTCATTTATTTATTTAATATTTAATATTCTGTCTTTCTCCCAATATGGGACTGAAGGCAGCTCAATATTTGAGTTTTAAAAAGCAATTACATTTTAAAAATGGATAATACAAATATTTTTAAAATCTTATACAAAACATTAATTTAAAACAATGTCTAAAAGGCCACCAAAACAGAATAATCATGATAAAGTACAAAGACAACACTCCCCAGTTAAAGGACCTTTTGAAACAGAGTCCTAAGTAAACAGAATAGTCTTCACCTGCCATTGGAAAGAACAGCTACCCTTGTTTCCCATGGGATTGAATTCCACAGTAGCCGCTGGGAAGGCTCTCTCCTGTGTCATCATTCTGTAGGATCTGTGATGGTAGTGAGACCAAGAGAAAGCCCTTCCCCAAGGATCTTAAAACACAGGTTGGCTAATAATTGGGGGATACTTTTTTCAGATAGTCTGGTCCCAAGCTGTATAAATCTTTAAAGGTCATAACCAATATAAACTGAATCATGCTCAGAAACAAACTGGTAGCCAGTGGAGCTGTTTCAATAGGGTGGTTATGTTCCCTGCAGCCAGCCCCAGTTAGCAGTCTTCCAGCATCATTTTGGTCACACTGAAAAATTGATGAAGTTAGGGGCATCACCTATACAACACTGTGCTTCTGGTACAGGATTTGATCTTAGTTTTATAAGTTTTTTTAAAAAAAAACAAACAGAACAAAGAATGCAGAAACAGAACTTTGTCCAAGTTTTTCCATACTTTGCCTCTTCAGAATATATAGGGCAGGGGTAGGCAACCTTTCCCCTTTAAGGGCCGAGGGACTTCAGCTCCCAGAAGCCTCAGCCATGTTGGCCAATAGTCCCATGTTGGCCAATAGCTCCTGGAATTCTGGGAGCTGAAGTCCCTTGGCCCTTAAAGGGGAAAGGTTGCCTACCCCTGATATAGGGCTATAGTTAGGAGGCAAATATGTGAGAGAATAAAAAGGAAAAGAGAGACAGGTCTTGAACAGACTGACAGCTAAAGTGGCCTCAAATTGGATTATTTCTGGCAGTCTGCTCAGGTCTCACCATCTAGGTACAAAAGTTCCAGCTTGTGTTCATGATATGTTGGAGAGCAGTTTAACTCCTCCAGGGGTGGTGGACCCATTCGAATGGTCCGCCCTTGAAGGCTGATGGAGCCAATTGGATTCCAGAAAGCCTTAGAGGGTTTAATGGTTGGGAATGCCGGGGATCCTATCGATGCTCTGTTCAATACCTGGAACACCGATCTCACCAGGGCTATTGACACGATCGCTCCCAAGCGCCCTTGCCATCCCGCTTCTAATCGGAGGCCTTGGTATACTCCAGAGCTGAGGAGGATGAAGTGATTTGGACAACGGCTAGAGCGCAGGTGGCGGAAGACTCGTCTCTTATCTGACAGAACTCGCCATAGGAACTTCTTTGTTCCTATCGGGAGGCAGTACGTGCAGCGAAGAGAGCCTTCTCCTCTGCA